CTCTTTCTCTCTCCTTCCTTCCTTCCTTCCTTCCGCTGTTCTCGAGCAGTCCTCACCTTCTGTGATTTACACGCGACATACTTGATCCTGGAAATGAGCTGGATTAATTGAAAGGGGGACATTTTTTTTTTTTTTGCTATTGTCACCGTGTGAGAAAATGTTGGTGGGGGCGTTTGGTAAAGGTGTTGCAGGTTTCTTAGAGAGAAGTTTTGTTATCGTGGATGATCTATAGGTGTGATACTTGGTTCTGGAGATCAGAAGGATTAGTTTAGGAAAGGTGTGAATGATCTATAGGTGTGTTACTTGATCTTGAAGATCACCTGGATTAATTAGAGTAGCAATTTTGGCGTTACAGCAGTGTGATAAAATACTTATTTTAAATGAACGAGGTGAGAAAAGGTGGATGGTACTGGAGGTCCTTTCGAGAGAATTTTTGCGATCGTTGATGATCTATAGGTGTGACAATTGATCTGGATTGATTCTTGTGAGGAATTTTGGTGTTACAGAAGTGTGATAAAATATTCATTTTAAATGAACGAGGTGAGGAAAGGTAGATGGTACTGGAGGTCCTTTCGAAATAATTTTTACGATCGTGGATGATCTATACGTCTGATACTTGATCCTGAAAATCACCTGGATTAATTAGAGTAAGAAATTTTAGTATTACAACAGTGTAATAAAATATTAATCTCAATTGAATGCATTTGCAAAACTTATTTAAAATCCTCTCAAAAAAATTTTGCGATAGATGATCTATATTCTCCATACTTGCTCCTGAAGATCACCTTAAAAATACTATACACACAGATAACGGTGCAATCAATTCCTAAGAGCACAATATCTAAAAACGAAATTTCCAAATTCAAAGATGAGAAGAACGATTGGTATTCGCGTTGCACACGCGAGGCGTGTACCATTAGAGAGGGAGGAGGAGAAATTTTTCGAGGGTTGACCGATCCCGCTAATATTCAAAGAATTAGACAGACGGTGGCAGGCTCTTGAGACACGGTCTACTGCACGGGGGCCCCTTAAAGTGCTTTCGTTGCATTCTACGGCGTGCATAACTCCGACAATGGGGGTTACACGGGTCTAACACAGGGGGATTGCAGCGGGTTACAGCCACTCGAGTAGGAGGTTACAGCCAGGCAACATATAGGTCGGACATAGAGGCTTTGATTCGTGCGATAAAAATCGGGCTTAGGCCTACCTTTCACACATCCCTCTAATTTCACCCTTTTGTCCATTTTTTTCTTTCTTTTTTAAGACCGTACAATCTGCTGTTTCCTTGTAACACTCTATTCGGATAATTTCAGGAAAGTCTCTTTCGTCTTATCACGTTTTTTTCTTCAACGTAGAAGAATTTCACGTTTTGCCCCTTAACGTATGATTTCTTTACCGACTGTGCATCTAAGCGTCGGCCATTTTAATGTTTCAGTTACCGTATCAGGTGACGAAAGTTGATCTGTTACAGATTATTTACATTTAGCAGTCTTCTGTGTTATAAATTATAACGAAAGTTAGGGTTCTAATTAATTTTTCTTATTAACAGAACTATATTTGTCAAATCTTGACCAGAATCTCTGCCTGAAAAGAAGCAGAAATATTACGTGTAAATAGAGATGAATTCTTTTAGATTTTTGGATGCAATCAAAGTTTTATTTGGAAAGAACGAAAACAGATAAATCGTCGAAAGAATTTCCATTATTTTTGATAATCTTTCGCCATTTTTCTGACAGCGAATGAAATACAAACTCGGCGGCTTTGAATCAATTGTGCGATTCCAGTCGGAAAGAATTCTTTGGTAAATAAATGGTAAAATTGCGCGAACTTGTTTAGGTTAGGTGATACATTGATCTTCCTGCAGAATGAGTTACTATAATTCGTACAACGTAGCAATTCGTTGGTCTCGTAATTTAGCCAATTTCTAACAAATTGTACACATATAACTAACGTCTCGCTTGGAGATGCAGTTTACGAGGACCTGGTTTACTGATCCACTGACCCACCATTGGAGGCCTAGCTCTATTCCACTGATCTTCTAGCCCATTAGTCTGGTTCGTTCGTTCCTCGGGTATTCTTTGGACCAGGAAAATTAGTCTATTACTCTATTAGCTCTACTTTACCGATCCAGTAACCCACTAGCGTAAATCTGTTTCTAATCTACCGGTGTATTAACCTTCGATTTTCGAAAGCACCCAGTAATCGATTTTTAACGCGATCTTTAGAAGCGGGGCTTCCATTAGGTAGAAAAGAATATTTTTGGATTCGAAGCCCCAAGTAAATATGTACGCAGAAAAATTTAACACAGTTGACATTTCTCTATAATTAAGTATTCCAAGGTGATTTTTCAACTTCGTTTTAAAATTTTCCCCGAAATTCATATTTCCTCCGCGACACGGAATGTGTTAAGCGAAATGATTAATCTACTAAGACATTTTTATACCTATTTTCTTCATCTTGATATCACTGTTTTACTATGTAACTATTTATTTCTCCATAAAAGTAAGTATCGTCGAATGAATTAAGAACCTAACCTAACATAACCTAACTATTTAGAATCTATCGTAAGATTTTCATGAAATATATAAATACAGTAGGTTATATCAATCGGAAGTAACCTAACATAACCTAACTAGCATCTGTCGTAAGATTTCCACGAAATATATGAATACAGTAGCATAATTCAATCAGAAGTGAAGCGAGAACATAACCTAATCTAACCTAACTCGAATCTATCACAAGATTTCCACGAAATCTATGAATACAGTGTCTTAATTAAACGCGAAGTAAGGCGAGAAGCTTAACGCAAACGACGTTGTCCCAGCGAATTCGCATTAAAGATTAAATCAGCCGATAGAAACCGAGGGCATTGTTTTCCCTGCGCGACGACAATGGCCGCGTGATCGGGACGCGCCCCTGTGAACGCGGCATAATGCACAATACGGATTATAACGCGCCGCTGTCATAAGCAGATGCCGATCTCGATCCTATCCGCACGGCCGGCTTCCCTAATCGCGTTCAATTGCCGTAAAAGCGGTTTCGTACGGGCCAAGACTGCTCCTCACCCGGAACTTCACTCAACTGCCCCGCGTTTTCCTTTTGAACTTCCGCTCCCGCGCCACGGTTTCCGTGAAAACTACCAGCTTTACAATTTATTTCCTCGTTCTTCGCGAGTGTTTTAATTTTTTTTTTCTTTTTACTTTATCTTCGTAATATTTTCTTCTTTTTTCTTTGTACAACGAAATTTCTGGAATTTCGGTATTAAATCTTCCGAATATTTTTATTATTCCGTTCTTTGCGTGGTTTATTTCTTTCTTATCAGAAAATGTGAAATAAAAGATTCGAGGAAAAACTTACGCCGCGTTTTCCTTTTGATCTTCAGCTTCTGGCGACGGTTGTCTTCTTCTTTGTGTTACTTTGCTTCGGTTTAATTGAAAAAATGCGTAGTACGAGAGAAAAAGAATGGTAAAAAGAGATCGTTGGCGCAAAACGCAACGGAGAATCGTTCTTCAAGAGCTGGCTGGACGAGGTGAACGAGGCGTTAAATCCCTCTCGAAGAAATAACAGACTTATAATAACTGTGGATTATGGATTTAGGGGGCCACGAATAGTTCCAGGTTACTTAGAACGTACACACGCGACAAAGGGCTTGCACTCGTCCCTCCCCCTTGTAAAAATATTTGAGTTCCTACCTGACGACAGTTCGCGCACCGAAAATGTGTCCCAACTATTTGAAGAGGGGCAGGAGAAAAAGAAGGAAAATTCTACTGGACACGCTTGGTAGCTCAATCTGTGTTCTATTTTTCCCCTGGAGCTTTCCTTCTTTTTTTTTTTTTCAATTCTTTTCTCCTTAAACTACAATCTTTATTTTTCAAGTTGGTAGAGACAATTAATGGCGTATTTTCCACAATTTTCTTATTTTTTATTCAATTTTTTACGAAGTTACTTAAATTAATTTCTTTTCCTCTACTTTCAATTTCTAATGGAAATCTCGTTTCTTCTGTTTCAGGTGAAAATATGGTTTCAAAACCATCGATACAAGTGCAAGAGGCAGGCGAAGGAGAAGATGATGGCTGAACAGAATGCTCAAAACCAGGTAATTATACCTGGATACAAAGAAAATAAAGATACAGTGCTCGAAACTGTTAGAGGATAAAATACTCGTGGTTGGTTCAGTCGATAACGTAGAACAGAATAATTCATTTATCAAGAGATTGTTCATTTTTAATTGTACACTGTTATTGCCGGTATTGAATATGAAATACAACATTGATTGTTGTGTCTGATACGGTATCTTTTTTTTTTCTTTTTTTTCAGAGTATCGTATGAATAACACGCTTCCTTCTTTTCTTCTCGCTTAAATAGCGTAACAGAACCACCGTTCACAGTGGGAGTTTTTTTTAATTGTTTCGAGCAGTGTATAACATGAAAAAACAAAAAATCAGTAGGAATATATGGAAAAATGTGTAACATGGTAGAAAAGCGTGTGTAAAAGTGAAAAACGCGCGCGACAGAGAGAGAGAGAGAGAAAGGACAGAGAGCCGGGGATTAAATTAAATTTTGTCGTTGGACCGTCTCTCTCTCGTGTGATGATAATACGTGTCCTCGATAGATCGGATTTCCCGAGGGATTTCGAAACGGCGAAACACACGACAAAATATCGAGCGTTTTGAAATGAAATGCTTTTAAATGAAAAATATTCCGGACGCGGCGCGGATCCTCGCATCCACATCGTATTTCGTTTCGAGTGGGCCACTCGACCGGCTCGAAGCGATTCTGCATTCATTTCGTTATTCCAGCCGAATTTTTTTCAGGGATACCGGCCTCCGTCGGTACGTAAAATCGTCTGTGTTAAACACGTAATTACCACGATGTTTCCACGATTGGCTGCCTCCTGTCGTGTTTCCTTCTTTCCTTCTTTCTTTCTTTTTTTCGTTCCTTCTATCTCCGCTTTTTGTATTTTTTTTCAACATGTTTTTCATCTTCCAACGAGCGACAGAATTTGTTTGAACCTTTTCGAGCACGGGGATTCGGCCATTAGCGTCGACGCGCGGCTGTGTGGAAGGGAGGCGAATTAAAACGTGTTCGACGGTCGAAATATTTACTCGTAAAATTGAGTACTTACGTTTACCTAAAAAGTAATAAATATAAAATCGTACATGGTGTATTATTTTCCATCGAACGTGGTTCTATTTAAAAGGTTTGTCATGCTTAAACGTACAACTCTTGCCAAAATGGCGTCGAGGTGGAGCACTTTAAAAGCGCGCAAGTCTCACGAAATTATTTCACGCCGATAGAAACCCGTCAAAGAAGCCTTTTTCCCCCTCCCTCCCTCTCCCTCTCTCACTCTACCGTACCGACTCTAGCGCTCGCCTCTCCCTCTCGCTCCCCTCCCCGCCCTCTTTTATCGGCTCTAATAATGACACGCCAGATTCCCGAGATATCGTAATTGCGAGTTCGAAACGTGCCCTGTCTCGATCTCGTTGCACGCACTGGCGAATACGAATCGCTCCTCCAGCCGGCTCCCTCTCCTTCTGGAAGAATAACATTCAAAAGAGACGTCACAGGCTGGCCCGATCGTCCCGATACACAGAGATCCGTCCTGGTGAATACATTATGGGCGAGTATGCGAGATCACGGATGTTCCCGGCATGCATTAGCGGCAAATCGTTCGATTCGAGTTAGCGGTGTGGCGTCGTGTCGTTTCACCGACGCTGAAAATCATTCTCATGTCAACATGCCGTCGATTATTTGCTCTACGTCAGTTTCTTTTGCACGACGAAAATGGATTTCTTGCACGACCACGATGCGTGGTCGAGCCACACGTTTCCAGGAAATGTTTTTCGAATCGTTCTCTATCCAGCCACTTTGTTATCGTTTTCTCTTTCTCTCTTTTTTTTCTGTTCATTTTTCGATTCTCGTTTGGGAAATGTTTTTGAAAAGTATACGTAGCGAGGCGGGCAACACTCGACGCGGAATGGCGTTTCGACGTAAGCGGATTTTCATAGCGCGTTTTTCGGCCCGACCGTCGACTTCATCGTTCTCATCGAATTTCGATGGAAACGCGCGCGCACGATTTTCGCGTAAAGCCACTTTCGCGGGTGACGGGGATCCAAGTCATTCTCTCGTATGTACAACGTATGTGTACATGTCGATACGTGGTCCTGTGCACACCGATTTCCAATTATACACCACGGACACTTGTTCCACGTCAAATTAATCAAATTTCATTGTTCACCACTCTGTACTTAACCTCAACTTTCAAGTGAGCCTACTTCTTATCACGATAGCCTCATCTCCTAAATTACCTTTCTGTTTGAACATAGGTAAGAGTATTCTTGATTATTCATAACGATGTTAAGTACATTCTAATCCCATAAATATCGACGTTCGAACATGTAACACAAGTAGTTATTCAGATCACGATCGATCTTGTCTCTAAGTAAGGCCGACATTGTCGCCGCCAAGCGGTGGCTCGTAAACACCCATAGAACATTAATGGTGCTGAAAGTTATCCGGCGGGCCGATCTGTAAACCGTTCTTTCCCCTCGATTCGTCCACGCCAGGACGAGCAGCCGCCCCATAATTTACTCGTTAGTTTTTCTCGGCCCCCGTAGACTCTACGCTTTCATTCATCTCTCCTTCTTCTCTCTGTCTTCCTTCGTCTCTCCTTTTTTCTCTACAACGCAGTCACTTACTCTTTCGTTCTCTCTTTCTCTCGTAGCTCTTCCCTATACCATGCTCTCGATTTCAATTCCATGACTTGTTTACCGTTCCTCCCCTATCTCCACACTGCATTTTCGTTCTATTATCTTGATCTGTTCGGTGATACGTGTAATTGCGTGGCTGGGCTCGTGTGTACGCCACGACGCGAAATAGTAACATAGGTAACGGGCGTGGCAGTTGTTGCAGCATTGTTACTGTCTCGCACAATAGGGATGCGTTCTATAGATAGGCCTTGTAATAGGCAAATCGTATCTTCGATATATAGGTGAAAGAACGTTTTCCTTTTTCTCTCGATTTTTTTTTGTTTGTCATTGTTGCTCTCGCAACAACTCTTTCAGACAACTATCTATTCGTTGAAATTTACTTAAAAATGCAGTGGATTAACCGTATCGAAAATACACGAACCAATAGTTTACAGATTTATTAAAAATTTCTGTTTCTACCAATATCGTTAACAGCTAATAGAATTAATCGTTTCCCGTATTAAAACACCGCGCGACGAAGAGGTAGGCAGCCTCGACGCGAGCGTCGTCGTCGACGACGACGGGTTGGCAGGCAGAGCTCCGATTTTTTTTTCCCTTTCTTTCGTTTTATTCCATTTCCTCCCCTCGCGGCGGTAAAAAAATTTCAAGTGGCAGCGCGAGCGAGCGAACACGGGAAAAGGAAGGAGAAAGAAAAAGACGGGCAGAGAGAGAGAGGGGCGAGAACGAGAAAGAGAGAGAGTGAGAACGACAGGGGTGAGGTGGGGAGGGGGAGTGGTATCCTGCAGGGGAGCGCGGAAACGGGTGCTCGAGGACCGGTCGCCATCTTGCCGTGAGTACAGTCATGCACAACACCTGGACGCGAATCGGGGTTACCAATACTACTATTGATATCGATTAACCCTCCTCCTCGAGACACGAGCCGTCGATCTTTCGACCCACGGATTGAAACTTCGAGTTGCAATCGAGATTAAGCCAAACGCCCACGACATCTTCGTGGACCGTGTGGAAATAGGGAAATTGTTCGAAAGTAATATGAATTTATTCTACGATCGAACTTGCTTATATTTAAATAAGAAGTGCCTCGACTGTTGAATTTTATCATAAATATATTTTAATCGTTATTTATTCAAACACCACGGTACCCCCGCTATGCTCGAAGTCAGTTGGAGTAACCTAAAAAAACTAACCTCAAAAACTGAACGAAAACGTAACAGCAAATTGTCATTGCCGTTAATTCCTGGTAGGTATAGGTTCTAAAATTTAAAAAAAAAAATAAAATCTCAGTTCATTTCCCGTGTACCGGGGGGAATAAGAGAACCCGTGGCCGGGTTTTTTCACGCTTTTCCTTTCTCGCGGGGAGAGCGCACGAAAGCTGTTTGGCGGGTATCGAGAGACCGCCTAATGTAATTACACCCGCGGTAAAACATCGGTTATTAGATTTAAAAACCACTTCCTCGTTTACGGAACCCATTGAATTCCATTCGTCGCGGAAACGAGAGGTCCCGGCAGAAATCTTTTAATATCTCTTCTCGTGTTCTTTGTTCGACCGAGACTTCTGTAAAGAAGAACGAGACGTAGACGACCGTCGGCTGGACGGACGGCGCTGTTAGCGGTGGTAAGGGAGAACTTGAGTGAAGGAGGAGGGTGAGGAGCAAGGGGAGGGGGTAAAGCTGTGTGCCACCCGGGAGAGAGAGCCCAGCTTTTAGTTAATTATATCAGTTCCGACGATGACGAGTGTTTTTCCACGAGAGATGCATTCGCGTGGAAGTCTCTCGTGCGCGCGGCACATTTAGATATTCGATGCAGCTGTACTTACATACCTAGAATGAACATCGGGCCGCGACCGCGTAGACGCTTCAAGTACAATTTATTTTGCAAATATCGTCCGCCCTCGTTCTTCTCCGTTCTCGTGATATATTAAAGAAATTAAACGCTCGGTTAAAGGGTGCCTTTTAAAAAGGCGATCTTCGGACAAGGAAATTCTTTGCTATCCCGGTCTTTTCCAGCCTTCTTTCCTTCTCGGTTAAACTAAATACATCCCTTTAACACACATAGACAAAAAATGTATACATACTATATATATTATTTATCCTCGATTTTTATCCAGTAGATTGAATCTCCAAATCGTAATTAACATTTATATCTGACTTTTAACACCGTTCACTGTGGCAGGAGAAAAGGCAATATCAAAAAACCGAATCTCGGTCGAGTCCTTAACCTAAAAAGGCAACCGGTGACAACGTTCGCTTCCGTGGAAGGAAAAAATATATATATTACCCATATACATATGCATACGTGTGTATAACGCTAAAAAAGGGGTCGGTGTTCCTCGAAGGGGGAGAGGGAAATCGACGCGTAATATGCTTCCCGAGAATCCAATCGCGGCCGCGCGATCACGGCAACATTGAGGCTCATTATGCGCGGCGCGGTGGTCGCCGCTCATAAACACGTACTACTCCGTTCCTAAGCACGGCCATTTTCGCCGGAAATCGCTTAACGCGCGTTGAAGTGGCTAAAGTGGCGTGACGCGTGACGCGCGCGCCGACCGTCATGCGTTTAGCGTAATCGTCACTTTGTCAGCGTGAAGTGCACGGCATGCCTGCACTTATGTTCGCGGCCACAACGTGCACGTAAGTTCGTGTTGGCCACTCGAATCGAATCGTTGTCACACACGCCTCCCCCATCGTTCCCTTTTATACAGTGGACTCGGTCACTGAATCCTTTCATGCCAGAAGAAATTCATTCTTCAGGCATTTTCGTAGGTAAATCTGTGGAACAGTAGTACTTAACTTGATATAGGTTAGGTGAAAAAATATCAAATTTAAGAAACCTTCAAGGAGACTAACCTACAGAATACTGAATTTTTCTGAGTTCCTATAAGTATCTCCAGATTATAACGATTAAAAAAGCTGTCAATCTTCTTGCAATACATTCAGCAAAGATTAAACAAAGATTGTCCTATAGTCTGAACCAAATGAGGTGACCTTTAAAGTCACCAACTCTACTGTACTACCTTATCTGCATAACATCGACTCCCTTCTAAATTCCTACACTACCACGAAAGCCTTTAATGATCTAAAAAGAGGCATTCATCTCCCTATTGCTGAAAAAGTCTATCTAGTACGAGTCCAGCAACGAAGCAGGCGTCATTTTCGAAGCGATCGCGATCATATTATTAAAGCGTCGCTGCCGTGGAGATCGAAGAGGAATGTCGTGTACTGAATGTTGATACAGCTGAGTGGTCGTCCCGGCAGGTACTCGGCCGGCTTGCTTCGGCTTCTGTTTGGCATGCCGTGGGGTCCCGCTCGCCGTACTGAATCCCCCCTTACAGCAGAGGGGGGAGGGAAGAGGGACTGAATGTTGACGCGGACCGACAGAGCTCCGCTGGAGCAACTCTGGTCCACGGTAGCCGGCACTGTTTATTCGTAATGAGAGAGCGAGAGAGAGTACGAGTACGCTCGAATGCTGATCACGAGGTATCGCGCTTAAGGGTTAAGTACCTGTGCCTACCGAGGCCCACGTGTTTGCTCGGAACACAGAAGCCGAGCCACGACGTCGTCCCACGTCTTCTCGACGTTGGTTCGTCGTACGCAGCCGGTGCACTGGTACATGGATTGAGTTTACACATCGTTGAATCGCTAGAGGAGGACCATGCCTGTCGTCTCTTTGACGAACGATGATGTCATTGATTGGAGGCAAAGTTCGGCTCTTTCTCTACACCTCTCTTCCTCTTCTCTTCTCGTCAATATAGAATCGTTAATATCGTGTGACAGTCGCCTCGATGTACCTGTATAAACGATCAAATGTTACTTCATCCTCGTCTATGGAATATTTTAACTGTACGTTCTACAAATAAGAATATTCATATACCTCTTCGTTAACCTACACTTTTTTTCTTTTTTTTTGCAAAATACCTTTCCCTCGATCAAACAACTCTTATATCTCTTACCATCTATCGCTAACCAATAAATTTCATTATTCTAACATTAGAAAAATCGTTTTTGTTTCATGTTGCAGAGTGCTAGTTCGCCGCGACGGGTAGCGGTACCGTTGCTGGTAAAGGACGGCAAACCATGCGGAACCGGTGCCGGCGGCGGAAACGAGGGCAGCCGCGGTGGGCCAAGCGCGGCCTTGGCGAGTCCAGCCCCTCCTCATATGACGGCCGCGTCGAGCCCTCACAGTTCACATCACGCGGCCTCCTCGGTGTCCCATCACTCAGTGGTTGGCGTGAGCCACGTGATGACGTCCAGCCAGAGTCTTCAGCATTGCTCGTACTCGAGGACAGGGGCGCAGCAGAGTATGCAGCAGCAACAGCAGCCGCAATGCGGCGCGTACCTGCCATTCCAGGGTCGGGCCTGGTAGTACATGCCATCCGCGGCGGGGGCCAATCCCTCCGTCGCAGGTCCAGCTGCCTGGTACCCTATGGAAGACAGCCCCTAGAGAGAGTCCTGTGTCGCGTACTCCGACTATTATGACCTGTTTCAAGAACAGCTCACCTCATTGGCTGAATGTCAAGAATTGAACCGTGAGACTGATCTAGAGGAGACTGTCTTTCCTTGGTGACGAATAATCATCAGCAGACACTGGAGAGAGTGGGTGGAGAGAGAGAGACTCGATTTTTTCGTGAAACAATGTTCATCGACGAGTTGTCTGCAAGTGCGGAAGACGCAGACACATTTCATAGTGTCCTATAGGACTGTGGACTATACATATACATACACATACATATATGTATACATATACATATATATATGACTATCTTGGGACTAACACTTGAGATTTCTTTCTTGAGGATTCTGCGTGGACCGCAGAAAAGTTGATTTTATTAGAGGCAGTGATGAGAGTGAGATGAAGGTCCTCTTGTGAGATTATCAAGACACGTGGATCGCTTTGAGTATTGGCTTTTTGAGGTCTTGATGTTTAGAGATGTAGTCAGTTTAGGGTTTTCTGAAATGCGGAGTACTTATATATCTGTTGTATCACACCTTCTTTTCTTCATAATTATGTAAATTTTGTTACTTTCTGAGTGGAAGGATTCATTTGAAACAACGAACATGAGGTCCAAATTTTGAGGAATATTCAATGCGATTCGAGCCACGTGCCCGTCGGTTCCATCTTGCAAGGGGAGTCCAAAATAATGGTGTCACAGTGTGAACGATATATTAACGATACAGTGAATACTTGTTTACCGCAAAATGGATCCCGATTACAAATACTGCCCCTACGAGCATAAAAAGTATTAAACTAACTACTGAAAAAAAAATAAAATAACCATCTAAATACTTGTCGTCAGAAGCTAACCTCATAAAAGACAGACTTAAATCAATCAGTAAGCTTAATTCGACGTTAAGGATGAAAAGTATCTTTTCTTTGAACTAATAACAAGATTTACAATTCTACTACTACTACTACTCATTAATCCGTATATAAAAGAATAATTTCGTCCAAGAAACTTCTATTTTAAATATCAATTGAATTCCAATTAAAGATGTCTACCATCCTCGAGAAGATACGGCGAATTAAGGCTTACCGATTGTTCTATAGTCATTTGAACAAGTTGAAAAGAAGGTAACGAGGTTAAAACATTGTTGTACCTGCAACGAATGCGCCACCGTCGGTGGAGGTGCAACGAAACACGTCGAAGCGGATTGCAGGTGCGCGAATAATCTAGCCAGTGCACACTCGAAACGCGTCGATTCCAATTGCGAGAAACCGTACACCAGGGCCGTGTGCATCGTGTGTGTCACTGGAGACGCACTCTCGCTACACTGTTGCGCTGCAACAATGCACACTATCGAGTAGGATTCGAATTTCCGGTGTGAATGGGGAGCTTCTCCTGGCGTGCCAGTCATGAATCGTCGAACGGCTAACTTTGAAATTCTCCATTGTAACGCTTGTTTTGTTTCGGTTATCCAAACGGGGGTGGGGGGTGGAAAAAAAAAAGAAAACAGTGCTTCCAGATCGATAAATCGAACCGGTGTGTTCGTTCTTGATTCTCAAGCTTCGTTGAACGGAAAGGTCTCTCTTAAGTGAAAATTCTGGAAATGGAAGTTTTAGTAATTTGGGTCGCTCCTCAAGTTAGCCTCGAATTCGTTACCGGCGCGCCTACTTGACGCAACGATTAAAATCCACGAGGAAAAGAGTCAACGAGTCATGGTAAAACGTGATACTTCAAGAACCGTCGATATATCGAGCCACTTTGCCGGTTCGAGTATCGAGCGCGACGAATCGCGACTCTGGCACATTTGTTCACGCTGGTTTTAGATATTTCATGGCTGCCAACAACTCTAGAAACCTTAAAGGAAGAGTGTAATTCGTTGTGGGATGTATAATAATGAACTAAGAACCTGAAAACGATGTCTATAAAACAAATTCTTGTATATTTTGTCGCTCGTTATTTTCATCAAATTCTTCACAATTTGATTAACATTGTTTATTGTTTTACAAATAACCTAACTTAAATTCAAAACGAGGTTATCTTCACTTTAAAACATGATAATTCTTTGAAACACCAGAAACCAGGATTATAACCTTAAAAAAAGAAATCGTACAAACTTGTTTTCAGGTTACGAACAAAGACCTTGCTCTATCAAACATCCCAATTACTGGAATAAACAACAATCTGTACCTACAGTATCTGAATCCACCCCACGAACCACGTTCTCGTTCGTTCGTAATTCTCCTCGCAAACACATCCAGCCAGGATTTTCTGCCACGAGCCACGAATCTCCAAGATTCTATCGAGAGATTCAAAGCGACAGAATCTATTCGTAGCGAGAGAAATTAACGGGCGAGAAGTCGACCAATCAGCTGCCAGTGGGAGATGCACCAATGTGAAACGTGCATATAGGTGAACTAGTATTCTTTCAGCGTTGCAGTCGAAAAAGAAAGAAAAGAAAAAAAAAGAAGAAAGAGGAGGTTACGAACGAAGCAAGAGCGTGACTTAGTCGAAACGGATTAATCGACCGGTAGAAGCGTGGTTTGTTCAATTGAACGAGGCGGATCCAGCGTTTCCTTCTTTTTTTTTCTTCCTTGTTCTTCGCGCGGGAAACGCTGAAACCGTGTCGCGAAGCGTGTTTCAGTCGCGGACACGTCGAGCCCATGGGACACGCGTGTACATAGTTAGAGAGATGTATATTATACACGGCATTTTTTCTCGCACCGTCGCGAAATTGTGGCGCGATTCGCTCTCGCGGAGAAGAGAGAATCGATTTTCCACAGTCGACTACGACGAACGACGACTACAACGATGACGACGACGACGAAGACGAAAACAAAACGTGCCGGATGTTGAATGAAAAGAGAGGAGATGAGAAAAAAGGCAGCGTGCGCCGCGGTGTGATAACGAGGTCACAGGTGTGAATCCGATGGTGTAAATATAATGTTTGGTACGCTGGTGTATTTTAGGCGCACACGCGGTACGCGGAATGGCGCGAGAAAATAAAAAAAAGAAAGAAGAAACCGTTGAGGTGGTGGAAGTTGGCCCCAATATGTTTTCAAAAGCGATATGAATTTT